TTCTTGGGCGCACTTGGAAGCATCTGGAACCCTCTTGGGCCGTCTTGGAGGCCATCTTGGACCATCCATCTTGGGCGAAGTTGGAGGCCATCTTGGGCCATCTTGGCTGTCTGGGAGGCCATCTAGGCTGTCTTGGAGACACTTTTGGGGCAGCTCAGCGGCCTGCCTGGTGGCCGGCGCGCTGGGCCAAAGCCCCATAGGGGGAGTTCTTTTGAAAAGAAGCCAACACCAAAAAACAGTAGGATTTGGCACGCCGGGCACCCCTGTGATACATCAATCGGGGGCGGCGGATCGAAGACGCCTACGGCGAATCACCGCCGCCCCTTGCCTTTTTGGAAGCGCCTGCGTGGCTCGAAGTTGGGTTTGAGCTTGGCCAAGCTATCGGGCCACGCGTTCCCCGAGTGGGTTTCGAAAGCCTTCGGGAAACACGGAGTCGGGCGAGCTATCGGACCAGGTGTTTTCCGAGCTCTTGGGCCTTCCTGTAGGACGTCTTGGAGGTATCTTGGGCTGTCTTGGAGGCATCTTGGGCGCCTCTTGGGCCACCTTCGGTTCTCTTGGGGATATTTCTGCAGTCTTGGATGCCATCTTGGTCGTCTTGGAGGTCATCTTGGCAGTCTTGGGGTATCTTGGAGACCATATTGGCCATGTTTGAAACCTCTTGGGCCGTCTTGGGGCCCTCTTGGGGCTGGCTTGAAGGCCTCTCGAGCCGTTCTGGAGCCATCTGGGAGGCCTTTGGGACTAGATTGGGGACTCCTGGGGCCGTCTTAGGCGGTCGGAACACCAAAAGCGAGGAAAAACAGACATCCTTCAAAAACCAAAAGAAAATGTAAGATTTTGGCTCCATCGGGCCTTCCTGGAGCACCTCTTGGACTCCTCTGGGGCAATCGTGGAACCTCTCGGGCCCCTCTTGGGCCATCTTGGCCGTCTTAGCAGCAATATTGGCCGTCTTGCAGTTCATCTTGACCGTTTTGGAAGCATCTTGGAGGCCATCTTGGGCCGTCTTGAGGGCCTCTTGGGCCGTCATAGGGCCATCCTGGAGGCCTCTTGGGCGCTCTGGGAGCGATCTTTCGGGCTCCTTGGGCCGTCGTGAGCCGTCGGAAGGCTCGAAAAGAACAAAAGCCAAAATCCTTCAAATACCCAAGGGACACATAATGTTGACCTCTTCGGTCTCTCGTGGAGGACCTCTTGGAGGCCTCTTGGGCCGTCTTGGAGGCCTCTTGGAGTCCTCTGGGGCCGTCTTGGGTCGTCTGGGAGGTTTCTTGTGCGAACTTGGAGGCATCTTGGACTCTCCAGGGCCGTCTTGGAGGTCATCTTGGACTATGTTGGGCGAACCTGGCGGCCATTTTGGCCATCTTGGAAGCTTTCTTGGAGCCATCTGGAGCAGGAACAACTTTTGGAACCACCCATTCCAGGCCATTGCGGGACCCTGGCGGGCTGGGCCGAAACCCCAGGGGAGTTCTTTTGGAATAAAAGAAAAAACAAAACAAACAAAAAAAAAACGAAAGGATTCAGCACGCTGGGCACCCCTGTGATGAATCAACAGGGGGTGGCGGATCTAATGACCTTTGGTCCATCCCGCCACCGTGCCTGCGTTGTGCGTCATAGGCCTCTAGGATGTTCGATGGGATGTCGCGCGAGGCCTCTCGGGGGCGTTTTGAAGCCTCTTGGGGGCCGTTTGGGGCATCCCAGGGCGTCTTCGGGGCCTGTTGGGAGTCTTTTGGGGCCTCTTGGGGCCTCCTTGGGCGGAAAACTGATTAGGATGTTCGGCTCGTGTTCCCCCTTGGGGGCTCTTCTTGGGGCTGTTTGTTGGCCGTCTTGGGCGCTTCTGCAGCCGTCTTGGAGCCCTCTTGAGCCGTGTTGGGGCCCTCCTGGGGGCTTCTTGGGCCGTGTTGGGGCGGTCTTGGGAGCTTCTTGGGCCGTCTTGGAGCGTCGGGAGCTCGCAAAGTCGAGGGGCCCCAAATCATTGAAAAACCTATGGAACATGTATGATGTGGGCCTCTCGGTGCCCTCTTGGGTGGGCTCTTGGAGGCCTCTTGGGGCGTTTTGGAGGCCTCTTGGGCCGTCTTGGGATCATCCTGCGCGTCTTGGGGCGGTCTTTAGACGCCTCAGGACCTTCTGGTGCGGTTTTGACGGTCGCCTGGGGCCCCCTTGCCGCGCCAAGCCGCGCCAAGGCCCAGGAGATTTGGCTTTTTGGGCTCTGGTCCCGTTCAAGACTCCTCAGGAGTGAGGACTGAGGCTTAGGACCTGAGGACACGCCCACTACGTGCCCAGCGGCACAGTGGCGGATCGAGCAACTGCGTGCTATTCACAAGACTGTGTCGTTGAAGAGTTCAGCGTGCCCGAGCGCAGCGTTGAGCTCGACTGCACTACGGCGGTGCATGAGCATTGGCCACTGCGTTCATACAGCGGAGATCCGTGACGAGAAACACCCTGCGTGCCTCCAGGGTGCCCTGGGTATCTTGGGTTTCGATGTGTTTGCAATGGAAAGCGCGACGTGCCCACACCAAACATCAGTGGACGCCCTGGGGTATCAGGGTTGGGTATCGTGTGGAAGGTTTCTTGTGGTCGGGCCCCTAGTGTGCCAACAGGCGCACGCATCGGCAACCGACACCGTCCAAGCACAATGCTTTGACTCGAAGAAAAAAACGCTACACACATTACCCTACGACGTACCCAACCCTTTCTATACATGTGGTGGTTACATTCGGGACCACTCAATGCTGACGGGCATGCTGAAAAACCCGCAGTGCGGAAGAAGAGCACCCATCAGTGAACTTAGAAGAGCGCAGCAAGAAGAGCAGCGGCAACGCGTAAGACGTACCTCAGTTGGGCCTCCCAGGAGCCCACGAAAGTTGCGACAGTTGCGCAGATCGCAGCCCCCAGGGCGCCGCGAGGTCTCGAGGTGGTTCGCGTGGGACGTACTTCCGCTGGGCCTCCCAGGAGCCCACGAAAGTGGCGACAGTTGCGCAGATCGCAGCCCCCCAGAGCGCCGCGAGGTCTCGAGGTGGTCCGCGTGGGACGTACCTCCGCTGGGCCTCCCAGGAGCCCACGAAAGTGGTGGCGACAGTTTCGCAGATCGCAGCCCGACGGCACGAGAGAAGAGGGGGGGGAACACGGGAGACAGGAGAGGAGGAGGAGGGGAGGAGGGGGGAGGAGGAGAAGGACGGGGCGACCACACTGCTCTATTCAGAACGATACCCAACCATAGGAGGGTTGGGAATCAACTTTTGGCACTCCGCGCGGATGTCTCGGATCCGCGCTGGAGCCCCTGGCGGCGCCTTCAGCGCAGCCCCTGGGCGCGCTCCGCGCGCCAGGGGTCCAGCGCAGATCCAGGAAATTAGCGCCGAGCGCCAAGCCAAAAAAAGTGTGTGTTTATAGCGCTGTTTCTTCTCCTATTGGCCCAGAAGCTCTCACTGAGGCTTCTCTGTTTATGTATTGACTCAGAAGCTCTCACTGAAGCATTTTTGTTTGGTTTGTACGCGAAGACAGTTGAGAAGACGTGCCCCTGGCCTCGGCTCCTGGCTCGGCTGCTCCCTGCCGCGAGCGCCCCCGCCTCCCCGCTCCGCTGTCCCGCGCTCCTCCGGACATCCTCGGACGGGCCCAGAGAACATCGGGGGAACAAGAAGTGACATAAACATAAAATCTCGGGGGTGGACAGAACCCCCAACAGTGACACGTCGATTAGTGAATTGTCCGTTTTCGGTTCTCGAGAGGGCGCCGTGGCCGCTATTTTCCAGGCTTGCGCCCGCCAGGTTTGGGCCTCAGGTCGTTTTCACTAAACCACGTTTTACTAAAGGGGGTTCTGTCCATCCCCGAAAATCTCTGAGGTCCGCGCAAATTCCTCGGATCGGCGCTGGGGCCCCCCGGCGGCGCCTCCGGCGCCGCCCCCGGCGCGCTCCGCGCGCCAGGGAGGGGGGTCCAGCGCCGACCCGAAAAATCCGCGCGGACCTCCGAGTTTTTATGCTTATGTCACTACTTGTTCCCCTAAAAAGTAGCCCGGGGACGATTGTCTGCATATCCTTTGACTGTGTTTGAGTATGCTTCTGCATCTCTTTGATGCGTCTTCCGGAAGCCGCGCGCACGAGGACATGCCCGGCCTACGCCTAGGATCGAGACAGATCCATTCCAAGGCGTCCTGGACCGCTCTCAGGTCGGAGGATGATAGACCTCCTACCCTGACACGTCGATTAAGGAATTCGCCGTTTCCGGTTCGCGAGAGGGCGTCGCGGCCGTCATTTTTGCGGGTCCAGGTCCGTCGGTTTCGGTCCCAGGCCGTTTTCATTAAGGGGAGGTTTACTAAAGGGAGGTTAATCCACCGCCGATTCTTGGTTGATCCAGATTCAAGGCCGGCATGTCCCTTTGCAGGAGGAGGAGTCAAAAAAGAAGCCAGGCAAGGGGAGGCAAGGAGTCCCTCCCAGGCCGTTTTCCTTAAGGGGAAGTTTGCTGAAGGGAGTTCTGTCCACCGCCGATCAGGGTCGCCCTGGCGCCGCTCGGAGGATGTTTATCTCCCTCGATCAGCTGGGCCCGGCAGCGGCCTGGCCAGGGCCGGTGTGGTCGGACAGCTTCCAGTCGGGCCTGTCCCTCTGCAGGGGGAGAATGCAAAGATATAAAAAATGTAGCCTGAAGACGGTTTGTGAACACTGCTTGGGGACTGTTTCGAGCATCGTTGGACTAGTTGCCATCTTTCCTCCCAGATCCGCCTGCAGGGGGGCCATTTTTTGATCCGCGGGTCGAGAGCGCACCTCTTCCGGTCGAAGCTAAGCGGGCCGCACCTGCAGGGGGACACGCCCGACCGAAGGGTCGTCGGATGGCTGTCGTCCTCCGAACTTCGCCGCGCTCCTCCTGCCCCTGCCGTGCCGGCCCAAAGTGCTTTACGCGCTCGACGAGGGCACACGCACAGCGCCATCGAGGGGGGAGCCGGCCGCGCAGCCGCCATGTCGAAGGCCGTCTTCGACAAGATCGCCGCGGCCGTCAAGGCGAAGGGCGAGGAGCTGGTGAAGATGGGAGGCGCCACCTGCTCCTGCTCCTCCTCCCAACAGGGCGAAACGAGGCGAAATAACTATTTCAGGAGCGAAAGAAGGACGTACGTGTACATGAATCCACGCTGGTTTCGAGAGTTCGCATTGAACGGATGTTCGTATCGCGCGGCAGGTCTCGCGGGTCAAGGGGCCGTGTTCATGTACATAGCTGGGCGCGTACGTCCTTTGTTGGCTCCCTACTATTGGCGTGCTCGCCCCGCGTCAGGCCCTGGCACCCTCCCGGGTTGAGCTGGCTCGAGGAGCTCGCATGGCGATCGAGAGTCTTGGTCGGGAGTTTGTAAGACGCGCTTTTGCAACGTCGTCGGACATCGAGTTTCCGACTCCCCCCAGAGGCGCAATTTTCCAGCTGGTCGTCAGTGACGGTGACATCAAGTTCTACGTAGACCTCAAGAACGGTGCTGGCGAATGCGGCTTCTCTGAGCACGAGAAAGCGGACGTCACGATCACCATGGCGGATGCAGACTTGGTTGCGATGGCCGACGGGAAGTTGGACGGCATGCAGGCCTTCATGAGCGGCAAGCTCAAGATCAAGGTCGGTGGCTACATGCGAACCCCCACCCCCCTTAGAAATCGTGTGTGGGGGGGGGTAGGGTTCACGTGTGGCCGCCTACAAGGGCAACATGATGTTGGCGCAGAAGCTGGGCTCCATCCTCGAGTCGGCGCAGTGAGCCTCCCGAGGCTGGCAGGGTGGTTGTGCTCGTCGCCTGCGCTCGGAAACTTTTTGACCGTTTCAAGCGATTCTACAGCTCGCGGGCAGCCTCGGTCGGAGGAGGATACTTCCGGATAGCTCTGCAGGAGGGGGATTCGCAGGCGAGCGAGAGTTCGAGGTTCTGGTTCGAGGTTCGAAGTTTTAAGACGTTCTCGTCGGTTCTCGGCGGTTTTCCAGCCTCGGGATGCTTGTCAGAAGTTGCGCCTCGCCGCGGGCGTTCCGAGGGCGCCCGAATCGTCCCGAACGGCCGCTGGAGACCCGAGTTGTGACCCGAAAATCAAAAACAAGTGGAGACCCATGCCAAGAACCACTCTGCTTGCCTCCAGGGTGCCCTGGTTTTCCTGGGTTTCGATGGTTCGGCTGTGGAAAGCGTGACGCTCCTACACCAAAATCAGTGGACGTCCTGGGGTCTCAAGGGTTGGGTTTCTTGTAGAAGCTTCTTTGTGGACTGGCCTCCACCGTAGGCTCACGCGCGCTGACGGCAAGTCCCAGTGGCAAGTGACCGAACATATGCCCAAACCCGTGTTGCCACATGGGCGCGGAAGGGACAACCGGAACCGTTGAGCTGAGGGAGCCGGTTTGGGCGCCCCGCGAGGCCGACCCCAACCTGCCAGCGGCGATGACTGGCGCGCGGTGCTCGAGATCGGGCGCCAGTCGCAGGCCATCCTTGCTGGGGAGCCTGTGTCGGCCTCTGAAGAGGCGCCAAGGGTGGCTCCCGCAGCCCAGGGGGTTGTGGTTCTCTCTTCTTCGCCTCTGCTTTCCCTTGCACCTCTTCCCTCGTAGATGCGGTTCCCTCTCCGCATAGCAGTAAGTCGGGCGTGTCCCTCTGCAGGAGGAATAGTCCAAAAGGGTCCAACAAATAGTCTGGGTACTATTTTTCGACTGCTGCTGGCCACGTTTGAGCATTTGGAGGCTATGTTTTAGATTGTTCTTCCAAAATCCGCCTGTGGGAGGACACGCCCGACCGAAGCATAGCAAGAAGCGGAGGAGGGCGTGTGGGGGGGCGCGGGCGTGGGCATGTTGCCGGTCTCCGCGAAAATCTGCGTGGCGCTCGGCAGGCGGAGGCCGCCGACCTCGTCGCGCTGAGTTTTACCGCGCCTGCCCCATCGGCCCGCGGTGCGTAGGCATCTTGTTGAGCCCAAGAATGTCAATCCACCCCTCCTCCTCCACCCTTCCTCCATCCCTCCTCCGAGTCCGCCTAAGCCCAAGCAGGTTACTCGAAGACGAAAAACGCCATAAGCAAAAACTGTTGGCGCTCCGCGCGGATTTCTTGGATCCGCGCCACGCGCCCCTGGCGGCGCCTCCGACGCCGCCCAGCGCGGATCCAAGAAGTCCGCGCGGAGCGCCAAAAGTTTATGTTTATGGCGTTGTTCCTTCCTCTAGTTACTCCACCCCTCCTCCACCTGCCCCGCGTGCTGCTGCCACTGCAAAGTGAGGTTCACGAAATCTTGGTGCATGGGGTTCGTGGGGCCATACCGTGCGAGTGGCTTGCCCCCCCCCCATCGGGTCTCAGACAGTACCGTTGGTTTCGGTTCGGCACAGGCCGCAGTCACGACCTGCGCGAGTTCTCAGTAGTTGAATGTGTCGTACGCGTCGCTCTGCCAGCGCAGTGCTTGCCCTCTCTCTCGCTTTCTATCTCTCTCTCTCTCTCTGTTGTTTTTGTTATCTCTCTCTCTCTCTCTCTTTCTCCCAATACCTTTTCTACACCCATGCATGTGTACTTACTATATATATATACAAGTCAGAGCGAGGAAGCCGAACGATCATTCATCTCCCTGGGTGCGTGGCTAAACTTGGGATCCGTGGTGAGGATTATGTGTGTTGCGTTATGAATTGTCTCTGACTCGTTTTCCTGCAACCGAGTGGCCTCGAATGTGTGTCCGATCGTTGCGTCGTCTTGCTACGATCCCATTCTCGCGGTGATGCTCTGGCTTCAAGCTCTATCCTGGGCATTCGCCCCATCCTCCTGAGCTCTTTTTTGCGGAGGCTCCTCCTTGGAGAGCATCTGGGGGCCTCGCAAAAGTTGTTTCAGGCTTTCTTAAGGCCTTCTGGAGGCCTCCTGGGCGTATTCTGGGGGCCTCTGGGGGCTTCCTCGGGCCACCCTGCCTCCAACCGCGGTCTCCCTGATCGACCGGGTCACGATTTGGGATGCTTCGGAGGGCGTCTTGGGGCAATCTTGAGCCGCCATGGAGCTCTCTGAGGGCCATCTTGGACCCGTGTTGTGCCGTTGTGGGGCTCTCTTGGGCTGCCTGGGAGCCTCTCGGATGGTTGTGGGGCGATTTGGGAGCCTCCCAGGCGGCTTCGGACGCCCAGAAGACCACCGTCTTGGAGCGTCGGGAAGCCGGAAAGAGGAGAACCCCAAAATTCACCAAAAACCATCCGAAAATGAATGATTTGTGCCTCTTGGGGCCTTCTTGGGAGTGCTCTTGGAGGCCTCTTTGGGGCCGTCCTGGAGGCCTCTTGGGCCATCTGAAGGTCACGTCGGGCACTCTTGGAGCGCTCTTGTGCTGTCTTGGGGGTCTCTGGAACGTCTCCGATTACCCCCCTGATCGCCCTAGGTGTGCTGGGAAGGCTTGGCAAAAAGCCCTGCGAGGCCTGGGCGGCCGCTTCGAGGCCCGTCTGGAGGGTCCCCAAGCCCCAGACCCCGGGAGTCCGGTTTTTGGGGGGGGTCCCCCGCCCGGGCTTGTAAATATATATATATATATATATATATATATATATATATATACATATATATATATATACATACATACATACATACATACATACATACATGCATGCATGCATGCATGCATACATACATACATACATATGTATGAATGTATAAAATATATACATACACACATATATAGGATATAGGAATAGCACTCTCGCGTGGCATTTCCTCGCAATGTACTGAATCGCCGCGCCGCGACCACCTAGAAATCACGCTCTCGCTCTGGATAGCCTCGCGATTCATGCAGGACTGACGCTTCAGCGACCCGCCCGCTCGACCCCGCCGTCTGGGTGGGCCCGCCCGCCCGACCCGCCCCGCCCGAGCAGCCCGTCTGGTATTGCCACTCGTTCCCTACCTAGGCTCTGCCTAGAAGGGTTCTTACTGTCTTTGCTTAAAGGGGCCGGGCAGTGTAAAGCGCCCCGGGCGGTTCCCCCGGTCCCCTGGGAGCGGTTCCCCCAGTCCCCTGGGAGCTTTAGCTTTAGCTTTAGTTTAGCTTTAGCTTAGTTTTAGTTTAGCTTTAGCTCAGCTTTAGCTTAGCTTTAGTTTAGCTTTAGCTTTAGCTTAGCTTTAGCTTAGCGTTAGCTTAGATGTAGCTTAGATGTAGCTTAGTTTTAGCTTAGAGTTAGCTTAGCTTTACCGTAGATGCACCCTAGCTTTAGCTTAACTATAGCTTAGCTGTAGCTTAGCTTTATCTTAGATTGACCTTAGCTGTAGCTTAGCTGTGGCTCAGCTTTAGCTTAGCTTTAGCTTAGCGCTAGCTGAACTCTAGCTTAGTTTTAGCTTAGCTGGAGCTTAGCTTGAGCTTAGCTTTAGCTTAGCTTTACTGTAGCTTTAGCTTAGCGTTAACTTAAGCTTAGTTTAGCTTTAGCTTAGCTTTAACTTAGCTTTTTTGTTACTACTGATGCTGCTTTCCTAGGGGCTCCAACTCCTAGGTAGGGTCGCACTGGGATATTTGTTCTATTCCTCCCCCCCTCTCCTGTCAATCTCTCAATCTCTCTCGTGTTCCATCCTTTCCCCTCCTGTTGTCTCTTCCCTCTTCCCTCCCTTCACCTGGTTCGGGGGCTGCGCTAACTAGACGTGGCAGGTAAGGAAGATACACCCCCAAGGGAATATGATCGAAGACGGACAGGGCGGTCATCGAGGGCTCGGGATATCCAGATACGAACGAACAGTCTCAAAATGATCAGTGTGGTCGTTGGTGGTGTTGTTGATGGTGTTGGTGTTGTTTTTGGTGGTGGTGCTGCTGTTTATTGTTGGTGTTGAACTCCCACCTCTGAAGAAGAACGATTGTTGAGGGAACGCGACATGTTACCAAACTGCGCCCCTGGCCCCCAGTTTACAGCAACAACAACAACGGCTCCCGCCTGATATCTCCTCACAGTGTATTCCCAAATCGCGTTATCGCGCGGGACTTCCTCACAATGTATGCAGCAATCGCGCTCTTGCGTGGGACTTCCTTCAATTAGTTCAGACGCCGCGCCCTCAACACTTAGGAGCCACGTTGTCGCGCTGGCTCATCTCACGATGTACTTGGGAATCGCGCCATCGCTAGAGATTTCCTCGCGATTCACGCAGGAAGCACGCTTCAGCAACCCGCCTGCTCGATCTGGCCGCCTGGGCCCGCCTTCCCGACCCGCCTGTTAGTGTTTTCCTGCCCGATCTGCCCGGTTGATTATGCCACGTGTGTTCTGTTCCTAGCCCCTCTCCTGCTACTCGTCTCTCTCATGTTCCATCCTTCTCCCTCCTCCGTGTCTCTTTGTTCCATCCGTCCTCTTTTCCCCTGCTGTAGGGCTGCATGAAATACACGGTGCGGGTAAGATATACCGTAGCACCCCGCAGATGCGGAGAAGAGTGAGGGGGCAGTGTGGACGTCGGCAGGTTGCGAGACTTTGGAGAAGGCCCCCGCAAGCGCCAAAGTTCCACAAATTATGCAACGAGCCCGCCGCAGGTGGGTGGGCTGCGGGCGGGTCGAAGATGGGTCGCGGGTGGGTCGCGTTTGGGTCGCGGGGTGGGTCGCGGGTGGGTCGCGGGGTGGGTTGCGGGTGGGTCTTAAGTGGGTCGCGGGGCGGGTGGGTCGCGGATGGGTCGCGGGGTGGGTAGCGGGTAAGTCGTGGGGTGGGTCGCGGGGTGGGTCGCGGGTGGGTCGCGGGTGGGTCGCGGGGTGGGTCGCGGATGGGTCGCGGGGTAGGTCGCGGGGTAGGTCGCGGGGTGGGTCGCGGAGTGGGTCGCGGGTGGGACGACGACAAACACAACAACAACAGCAACAACAACAATAACAACAACAACATTAACAACACCAACAACAACACCAACAACAACGACAACAACAACAGCAGCAGCAACAACAGCAACGCAACAAGCAGAATCTTGACCACGGATCGCCACTTCAGCCACGCACCCAGGGACAATGAATGACAGTTCGGCCCCTTCACTCTGATATCTATATGTGTATATATGTGTGTAAATACATATATACATATATATATATATATATATATATCTCCCAGGGGTGCGATCGAAGACGAAGAGGGCGGGTATCGATGGTTCGCGATATACGTGTTCGATTGTAGGCGGTAGATAGCAGCGAACAGTATTATGATGAGTGTTGTTGTTGTTGCTGTTGCTGTTGTTGCTGCTGCTGCTGTTGTTGCTGTTGTTGCTGTTGTTGTTGCTGTTGCTGTTGCTGTTGCTGTTGTTATGTTCGAACCCGCTGGGGACTGGTGGAGGCACCGACCAGGAACGACGCCAGCTTACGCGCATGTTGTGTTCATCTAGGGGGGAGGCTCGCAGAGGCGAGCGCCGCTTGCTCTCGGGCCAGGGGTGTTCACCCCCTGGCGCCAGGACCCCAACGCGATGCTGGGCGAGCAGCTGCCCAGGACGGGACGCTGCGCACGGGGGCGGCTCGGGAGGGGCTCCCTCCTTCGAGGAAGTGATCAAATGCCAGGGCCCCCATGGCTCGCACCTATCCAGATCCATCGCCTCCCGCTCGGCATCGCTCGGACGTGCGCCTTGTTGTGCGGCGAGGACCATCGAGGAGCATCTTGCGAAAAATACGCGCGCGAAACCAGAACCATGCAGGGACCTGGCAGTCCGAGCGATGGCGAGCTTGGGATCCTGAGACAGCTTCCCCGAGGCGCACAGCAGATGCGGAGCGCTGGGTGCCCAGGCCAGGGCCGGGACACCCTCCCAGATCCCCCCCCCTTCCTTTTGTGCACCCCCTCCTCGGGGGCCTCTTGGACCTCCCCCCAGCAGCCGCCCTGACCGCCCAAAGCACCCTTCGGGGAGCACGGATCAGCGACGAGAGCGGCGGAACAGGGCCCAAGGCGCCCCCAGATGGCCTCCACAGTTGGACGGCCCAGGAGGGCAGAGTGCTCATGTCTAAGTCGTGGGCCCAACGCTACCGCCCCCATCCCGTTGGCACCCCTCGTTTCTGAATCGTGGCCGGAATTGGAAATGACCGGAATTGGAAATGAAGAGTGTGTGTTGTGTGCGTGTGCGTGTGTGCGTGTGCGTGTGCGTGTGCGTGTGCGTGTGCGCGTGTGCGCGTGTGCGCGTGTGCGCGTGTGCGCGTGTGCGCGTGTGCGCGTGTGCGCGTGTGCGCGTGTGCGCGTGTGCGCGTGTGCGCGTGTGCGCGTGTGCGCGTGTGCGCGTGTGCGCGTGTGCGCGTGTGCGCGTGTGCGCGTGTGCGCGTGTGCGCGTGTGCGCGTGTGCGCGTGTGCGCGTGTGCGCGTGTGCGCGTGTGCGCGTGTGCGCGTGTGCGCGTGTGCGCGTGTGGCGTGTGGCGTGTGCGTGTGGCGTGTGCGTGTGTGCGTGTGTGCGTGTGTGCGTGTGTGCGTGTGTGCGTGTGTGCGTGTGTGCGTGTGTGCGTGTGTGCGTGTGTGCGTGTGTGCGTGTGTGCGTGTGTGCGTGTGTGCGTGTGTGCGTGTGTGCGTGTGTGCGTGTGTGCGTGTGTGCGTGTGTGCGTGTGTGCGTGTGTGCGTGTGTGCGTGGTGCGTGTGTGCGTGTGTGCGTGTGTGCGTGTGTGCGTGTGTGCGTGTGTGCGTGTGTGCGTGTGTGCGTGTGTGCGTGTGTGCGTGTGTGCGTGTGTGCGTGTGTGCGTGTGTGCGTGTGTGCGTGTGTGCGTGTGTGCGTGCGTGCGTGCGTGCGTGCGTGCGTGCGTGCGTGTGCGTGCGCGTGCGTGCGTGCGTGTGTGTGTGTGTGTGGTGGGGGGGGGGGGGGGGGCCGTGTGCCTGAATCCGCCCCAACGCCGCGGGCGGGGCCGCGACCGCCAAAAAGTGTGCGTGTGTGCGCGCATTCGTGCGTGCGTGGCACGGGGCCGATGCGCCCAAGGCTCTCAGATTTCATGGCGCCTCTGCTTATTTCAGTACGCCCCCCCCCCCGGGCCGCGCACATGCCGCCAGCCATGATTTGCGCCCCCCCTTTTAGGACGCCCCCCCCTTGACGCCCCCGACCTGGCCCCGGGGCTTACCAGGGCCACGGTGCGCTGGGGCCCCGGGCTAGGGTTTGTTCCGGCTGGCCGGGGCCACGGCAGGCCAGCCACAATTGGGGGAGCTGTGGTCCTTATCCCGCTGGGGGACCCATCGATTTCGACACCCCTCTCGAGAGATCGTCGATGCGATGGGTTCCCCCAGGGGGGCAAGGACCACAGCTCCCCCAGCTATGGCTGGTCAGCACGGTTTGCAGCGGCCCTGGGGGTTGCTTGGGCCATGGTGTGCAGCTCCCTCAGGGCTTGCGGGGGCCATGGTTTTGTGTTGATGTCGTCGTGGGGGCGCGGGAGGCACAGACCTGCGCGTCGGCGCCTTGAATTTGCAATTCGCGGCCATGGAAATGACTGGAAATAGAATTGACCAGAATTGATGGGGAGAGTTCTGCAGATGTTTGGGCAGTTTTGTGTTCTGAACTTTGCACGGCGTCCACACGACGGCCCCAGAGGCTCCCAAGATCGCCCCAAGACGGCCCAGGAAGCTTGCAGGAGGGCGCCAAGACGGCCCCAGAGGGCCCCGAGAGGGGTGCTCCAGACTGCCCACGAGGGGGAACCCGAACTCACACTTCGAGCCCTCCGCCCCAGGTGGACCCCCGAGGCCGCGGGCGGACCCCCAAGAGGCCCCCCAAAAGAGGCCCCCCAGAAGGCCCCGAGTCAGAGACCCGAATCATCAGGGGTAACTCGGGTCAGGGCTAAATCGGGTTCGTTTTTCGGGAATCCGCACCCGAGTTGCCCCGGGCCCGAGTTACCCCGGATAACTCGGGCGTCCAGAGCCCCAAATCATCAGGGATAATTCGGGTCAGGGCGAACTAAAGTTCGTTTTTCGAGAATCCGAACCCGAGTTGCCCCGGGCCCGAGTTACCCCGGATAACTCGGGCGCCCAACCGAGGAGCTTCAAGACTCCCTCCACGAAGGCGCCCAAGAAGCATGCCAAGGGACAGGCACGGCGGCAGCATTGGTCAAGGACCGCAGACGAGCAAACGATTGGCCTGGCGACGTTCCGTAGCCATGTTAGCTCAAGTTGGGGCTCCAGCGCCTTCGGGTGACGAGTTTGTTGTGTGTGCGCGTTGATCTAGTTGACTTGACGCTTACCATTGGACAACATGGACTCGTTCACGAGGCGTGCCTCAAACCAGAACATCCATAATGATGAATATTCTGAGACCTACGTGAACCCTCACCCATTCGACAACAGACCAGATGGCATGCGTACATCGTTGCCCAGTATGGGCTCATCCATTTTGCAGTCGAGCGGCGGCGAGTCATAGACGAACGTTGACGAGTTCGACCACCCGCGCGGGGGCGCCCTGTTTCTGACGACTGCAGGCGCTCCGCTGCTCCATCGCGCCGCGGGGGCGGCGCAAGCCTATTCGCCAACCAGGCCGCCCAGCATGCCGCCGCGCTCCGCCGCCGATGCGGGGCTCGCCGCAGGCCCTCCCGGCGAGACAGGACCGCGCGGCGCGGGCGAGACAGCCGGCCAGCGGAGGGCGGGCAGGGGCCTCCAGTGGCGCCCCCGCGGCCGCCAGGGCGCCGGCAAGCATGCGGGCCGACCTGTCGGCAGGGCGAGCTCGTTGGCAGCATGCGGGCAGCCACCGAGGATGCGGCGCACGCCACCCCTGGCGCTCCAGCTATCACCACGCTCATGATCCGCAACGTTCCGATGTCTGTGGCGCTGAGTGGCCTGCTGGACCTCATCGACAGGGCTGGTTTCGAGAACCGCTACGACTACGCCTACATGCCGACCAGTTTTGACAGTGGGACCACTAGAGGGATCGCGTTTATAAATTTTGCCACCGCAAGCGACGCCCGTGAGTTCTCCATCTTGTGGAATGGATCGCGGTTGACCGGAGTTGCCGGTGCTGGAACCAACGGGGCCGTGATCGAGGTCACCGTGTCGGCGACGCAGGGCTATTCGGAGAACGCCAGAATGTGGAAGGCGGGCTGGTTGCGCCGCATTAGAAATCCCAAGTTCCACCCTTTCATCGCCACGAGGCCAGCTGCCTAGTGAACGCGCGGTTGGCAGCTTCAGTTTTATAGGACGCGCGGGACGCGTGGGTTGTGGGGGGGAGCGCGGAGGAGGCCAAGGAGGACGAGAGCAAGGGCGCGGGCACAACCGCAGCGCGCCCCGGAGCGCTCCATTCGACGGCGCTGGGCGCGAGCAAGGCGGGCCATGTGCCGAGAGGACTTTTATTAGTCGCACGCCCGCGTGCGTTCTTGAAGAAGGGGGATGCGGCTGATGCCGAGGAGAGAAGGAGGGGAGGAGAGTGCCAGCCTCACTAGTGGGACTCATCCGTCCCTGCTGATTGCGCAGCTCTGGCATCGACAGGGGCTGTACATTCTGGTCCTCGGCTTGTCCTGATCACGCTGCTCCTTCGCGACGTTTCCAGGCTACTACTAGTAAATGTTTGCTTCCTCGTCTTGTGGTTGTGTATTCGAGACATGCAGAGCTGAGATGGTGCAGGGCCGATTGTTCTGCTCTGATGCGACGTTTCAAACATGAAGCAGTTCCAGTGCATCTCGTTTCGCCTTCTTTCTTAGGTTTTCGCAGCGCGCAGCGCTCACTTGAACCTTGCAAGCGCAAGGAAACCTGAACATCGTCCGCAGCGCGCGCAAGAAATCCTGTGGCCGTCCTCGTTCCAGAGGGCCAGACACAAAGGTTTGGCGCAGATGTGTGGGGCTTCATGCGTTTCCTGCAGGGCAGCATGCAGGTCCCTTAAGGGGCCCGCTCGAGGCCCTGATCTCTGATTTTGCGGCGGCGGTTGCAGCAACGCCACTTCCATGATCCTGTTTTTCAGGTGGAGGAGGAGGAGGAGGAGGAGGAGGAGGAGGAGGAGTGAGGAGGAGTGGCGCAGCCTGCCGCAGCAATTCCCCTGGCGAGGATGCCACCCCGCGCCCTGCCGAGGCTGCGACGCGTAGCCAGGAAGCCTCACCACGAGGCCTGCGTCGGAGCCGGCCAGGATCAGAGGGAAATGCGGCGTGGCGACGCTGGCGCCAGACGGGACGTCGAGACGCGTCCAGGGAAGGGGGGGGGGCTTCGCAGTAACACGCGACACCCACGTTCGCCCGTCCTTTTTGTTCAGGTGGAGGAGGAGGAGGAGGAGGAGGAGGAGGAGGAGGAGGAGGAGGAGGAGGAGGAGGAGGAGGAGGAGGAGGAGGAGGAGGAGGAGGAGGAGGAGGAGGAGGAGGAGGAGAGTGAGAGGAGGAGGAGGAGGAGGAGGAGGAGGAGGAGGAGGAGGAGGAGGAGGAGGAGGAGGAGGAGGAGGGGAGGGGAGGAGGAGGAGTGAGCCGAACGTCATTTCGGCTGTGGAGGCACGGAGGAGGTCAGAGCAAGAGGCGTCATGGCGCGTGCCCTCCGAGCGGCCCGTGCGCTCTGCTCGGGCCCCTGGGGACTGCGGTGCTCCTCTGCAGGAGCTGCGGCGCGCGCGCACCACGGGCAGGCAGGCCACGGGCTGTTTTGAATGCTCGCGCGGATCGGCAAGCCGGGAAGCGAGAAGTGCACTGACTGACTGGAAGTCGGCCCACAGTGATTTCGGCCGCATGTCTCACTGAGTTGATATTTGCCTCCAGCTTGTCGTCTCTGGATCCTGATTCGTCCAGTAATTTCGAATTCGCGAAACCACTATGAGACAGTGGCACGGAAATCTCGGGAGGCCAGCGCTCGGCTGCAGCAGGCATGCCTCTGCCAACGACGCGTGGCCGAGTCGGTGCACTCGGAGCCTTTGCACGGACTCATAGGCGCGTGGCACTCGCCGACGCCTTCACACTCCTGCACTTCCGGGACCCCCCCCCCAGGAAAAAATAGAAAAAGATGCTTCCATCATCGCCTCAGGACGGGCCAAGAGGAGGGCCCGGGGCGGCCTAACAGGGGTTCCATGATGACGGCCCCAGGGGCGCCCAAGACGGCCCTGGATGCCTGACAGAGCTTCCGATGAGATGCCCGTGGCCTGGAGGACTCATTGCCTCCCACGGACGTCTCGGTATGCCGTTGATTGGTGGACGCCCCTGGCGCATTCGCCGACCCTCCTAGGCCTCCCAGTGGCCGCCCAGCCATCTTTCTGGACGTTGCTGCGGTCTGGCAGCGTGACCTGCTTTTATTGTGGGTCGAGCTCCCAAGCCCCCCCCTGGCCAAGCAGGCACTGGCCGTCGAACCCACAAGTATATGAGATGCTTCTCGGTTGTTCGGTCCGCGTGGATCTGAGCGGCAGACGGCACGGAGCGCCGCCCCCCAAACTTTGCGACAATCCGGGGGGCGCGTTGGCGGTGACGGGTCGTCGATCCCGCCACGTCTTTCCGTGCCTGCCAGGCGCTCGCCCCCCCCCCCCGTGGATCCAGAGGGCAGGCTGCTCTTCGGTCTCGACCCCTCTGTCTCCCTTTCTCCGTATCCTGGTGCCTGCTGCACGTGCTCCTCTACAGTCATCGGCCTGACCTAAGGAACGATAAATATGGAACGAAGCCCGTTTTTTATCCCAAGGAATAACGCATAAGGAACGATAAATAATACATAATGCATACGGAACTGTAAATAACGCATGTAAACCTAAGGAACGACCGAGCCCCTTTTGAAAAGTAAGTGTTCCTTATTCAAGCCGCTCACCGTATAGCTGGCGTGACAGCGCGTGCGTGATGTTCGAAGGCTGCTCTCTCTCCGTCCTCCGTCGTTCCCCGTTCCGGTCCCCCTGCATGTGCTCCGCCCTTCTTCGTGACAGCGCTCGCACTCTGTTTCTCAACAGCTCAAGCGATCCGCTGCAAACTTCTTCAGGAAAAAAACGCGGAACAGAAAGCAAACGATTGGTTTGGCGACGGACCCATTCCTATGCAGTCACGTGCAGTGCTAGGCGCGTCCCTCTCTTCAAGTACTGCGCGCCGCGGGACTGAGCTGGTAGCGGGTTGCTTCCGAGCAAGCGTGTACAGGTGCTCTGAATTTCGTGTGGGGCACGATCCGCGTGAAGGGGGTGCCGAGTAATCTGGGTGCCCTCGCGCGAACCCGCGAACTGAGGCTGCGGTTGGAGCTCCCTGTGGGGCACGACCCGTGTGAGGCATGTGCCAGATGGGCGGGTATGCGCCATGCGAAGTTGCACATTGGTGCCATAGGTGGAGCTCGGCCCAGGGCACGATTCGCTTGAGCAGTGTGCCGACATGCGCGGAGGGACGATATGCAAACCTTGTCTCTGAGGCTGTTGGTGGTGCTCCGCGTGGGGCACGTTCCGCATGAGGGGTGTGCCGAAATAGGGGGTGCGCTATGCAAACCTTGTCTCGGGGGAGCTCCCTGTGGGGCACGATTACAGTAGGGTCCCGACCACAAGAAGCATTCCACAAGAAACCCAACCCTGAGACCCCAGGATATGCACTGAGCTTTGGCGAGGGAGCATCACGCTTTCCGCCGCAAAACCAACGAAACCTAAGAAACCCAGGGTACCCTGGAGGCAGGCAGGGTGTTTCGTTGGCATGGGTCTCCGCTGCAGTGCGAGAGGTGTGCCGAGGCAGGCGGGGGGAGCCAGATGCGAACTCCCTGCAGGGCGCGATCCGTGTGAGGGGTGTGCCGACGTGAGCGGGCCGACGCTGTGCGAAGCTTCCCTCATGGCCAAGGAAAGAGAGACCACCCGGACCCGACAACCGGCGTTTACGAAGCGGCCCTCGCCATTTACTAAACTAAACAGCCCTGCCTTGTTTGATTCCTTCTTTGAATGCGTTCACTGAACGGCTTCGCTTGTCGGGGTGGTTATCGGGGGGGGAAATTTCCTGCCCCCTCATATATATATATATATATACATCAGTGCAGTACCTGCGGGGCAGCACGATCCGCGTGAGGGGGGTGCCACTATGCAATGGAGCCGTAGGTAGAGCTCTTTGTGGGGCACGATCCTTGCCAAAGATGTGCAGAGATGGTTTGGGAGCCGTAGGTGGAGCTCCTTGAGGGTATGACCCGTGTGAAGGATGAGCCGAAATAGGCGGAGAGACGGTATTCAGATATGTATGCCCACGATAGCGCAGGTGTTCCCACGTGTCCATCGTGGTGGGATGGCGTGCGTACCCATCCGCCGATTGATGTAACGCTGGCTTCACCTTGGCTAGGACATAAGCGCCCGCGAAGCGCACGCGCGTCGTTCTAGTTACAAGTGAAAAGGTTCTGGCCATGGAATCGAGACGATTCGGTATGTTGGTGGATCGAGTGTCAAGGCTTGGAGGGTCCTTGCCCCTTTGGGAGCCTCCGCAGTCCTCCAGAGGCATCCTCCGGAGCCCGCGGGGGCCTGTGGAACTCTCCGGGGTTCTCGCATCCGAAGGTTCGAGAAGTTGGCATCGCGTCCTCGGCGGAAGATCTGCGGAAGCATGCGGAGGTAAAATGAGTCTGGCAGGTCGTCGTTTTTTACGATACTGTTTCGACGCTCGGCGCGAGCCCTCGCACCCCCCCCCCCATGGAGCAGATCTTGGCTGTTTTTGGCGCCTGTTTCGGGCAGGTGGAGTCTCCCCCACAGGGCGCCCTGTCGCAGACAGTCGCACTCAGCAGAGGTCCGGAGCCAGACCCCTCCCCCTCCTCCCCCCTTCCCGCCCAATGTCGAAACGCCGAATAAGAAAACGCTCACCAGGAGGTTGGAGGAAGATGGTGTCCGTGAAAGTTCCTTCCCCAAGACATCTCAGCGCTGGCGTGCCCGAGGATTTTGCGGTCGGCCACGTGCAATTGGGCACGCTGTGTCGATTGCGTGATTTTCTTTGTACTTTGCGGATGTGTAATGTTTGTGCGACCCGGAGTTTGCTTTTAGTTTTTCTCGTGTTCCTCCTCGTATTGTTCCGCCTTTTCCCCCTGCGATTTACCCATTCTTCCTCCTCCCGACAGTTTGCCGCGCTTCCGTGCGTGGATGTAGGTGCGTCCGTCGGAGGTATTCATTGTTGAGTGCATGTGCAACTTGGTGTGGCCAATCGTAGGGACCTTGGCGCAGCGCGGCCATGATGAGCAGCTTTGGCGAAGCCGTGCCGATCAGGCAGCAAGCAGAGGAGGAAGAGGCAGGGTGGGGTCGGGAAGTCTACACATTCATATTGAACAAGTAGTGCCGTTGCTGGCTTTTTCTGCATTCGAGTTGACAACAAGGCCTCCTGTTTGTGACGACAGGGCAATGGAAATGTAATGCCGCGTCATATTCATTTGGGCGCGCGGCTAGAGCGAAACCTACTTGGCCTTCTGGTCGTCCTTCAGCGGGCTTCAGCATGCTCCCCGCAGTCGCTTTTGAAGGGCCGGTTCGTCTCGGCCACGGTCTGCTGAGCCTGCTTCTTGGTCGTTTGCGCCCCTTCCCCTCAAGGTTTGCGAACGTTGCTGGCAGAGCGATGGCGGAGGCGATCTTGGCACCCAAGATGTTACTACTCAGTGCCCGCTGGCCACAACGTCTCCTCCATCGCTCTGAAGGAAGGGGGGAGGAGGAGGAGGAGGAGGAGGAGGAGGAGGAGGAGGAGGAGGAGGAGGAGGAGGAGGAGGAGGAGGAGGAGGAGGAGGAGGAGGAGGGAGGAGGAGGAGGAGGAGGAGGGAGGAGGAGGAGGAGGAGGGAGGAGGAGGAGGAGGAGGAGGAGGAGGGGGAGGAGGAGGAGGAGGGGGAGGAGGAGGGGGAGGAGGAGGGGAGGAGGAGGGAGGGAGGGAGGGAGGGAGGGAGGAGGAGGGAGGGGAGGGAGGAGGGAGGGAGGGAGGGAGGGAGGAGGGGAGGAGGAGGAGGAGGAGGAGGAGGGAGGAGGGAGGGAGGGAGGAGGAGGAGGAGGGAGGAGGAGGGAGGAGGAGGGAGAAGGAGGGGGGAGGAGGGAGGAGGAG